TCTGTCCCGGAGACGGTCCAGACCCCAGGCAGGAGGCACGACGCAGCCTTGGAAATGGGCACTCAGGCTGGAGGCCAGGCGGGAGGGCAGGGAGTCTCCCTCCAGACTGCTTCCCTTCTGCCTCCTGGCCTTGGCTCAGTCATCCTTCTGCCAAGGGGGTGCCCGTCGGAGAGGCACGTGCCCATCCCCCTCACAGGCCAGTGACTAGAGTTAGAAACTGCTGGAGACAAAGTTAGAAGTTGTTGGCAATCACTCAATGCCTCTATTGCAAACCAAAACACCCAACAGAGAGAGAGAGAGAGAGAGAGAGAGAGAGAGAGAGAGAGAGAGAGAGCGCAAAAGGGAATGCCCTGCCACAGAGGTGGGGTAGGGTGGAGGGACGGGGTGGGGGTGGTGGGAGGGATGCTGGGACCATTGGTGGTGGGAAATGGGCACTGGTGGAGGGATGGGTACTCGACCTCTGTATGATTGAAGCGCACTGTAACTGTAAGCCTGTCACTGTAATTGTAAGCCTGTAGCTGTACCTTACGGTGATTCACTAATAAAATATATATATGTATATATATGTATATTTATATATATGTATAGGCAAAGAAAAAAAAGAAATTGTTGGCAAGGAGACAGGATATGGACACTTGCTTTACATGCCACTGACCTGGGTTCAATTCCCAGACCCCCATATGGTCCCCAGAACACTGCCAGGAGTGATCCCTGAGCACAGAGCCAGGAGCAAGCCCTGAACATCACTGGTTCTGGCCCAATTCCCCACCACCCCCACGGAAACAATAACAAAACAAAAGAAACTGTCAGCGAGGAAATGGTGTTGTGGTTCGCGAGAGTGTCGCCTAAGGATGTGGCCGTCCCTAGTCCGAGAGTGTGTGAATGGGTCCGAGAGAGGGAAAGGCCCTTGGGACAGGAAGCGTCTTCTGAATTGTGCGCGCGGGCTCCAAATGCCATGGCGAAGGGCTCAGCACTCCCAGAGGGGACAGGGACGTGGCCGCACGGGAACATCCGGGCTTTATTTATTTGTTTATTTATTAAGATTTCGTTATTGAATCTCTGTGAGATAGACCTTTACAAAGCTGTTCATGATCAGGTTTTAGTCATACAGTGCTCCAACCCCATCCCTCCACCAGTGTCCATTTCCCAGCACTGGGGGCCTCAGTTTCCCTCCCGTCACCTTCCCCGTTCCCCAGCCTGCCTCTGTGCTCTATGGCAGGCACTTTTCTTCTCTCTCTCTCTCTCTGTGTCTCCCTCTCTCCCTCCCTCCCTCCCTCCCTCTCGTTCTCCCTTCCTCTGTCTCTCTCTGTATCTGTCTTTCGCTGTGTCTTGTCTCTCTATCTCTCTCTGTATTTGTCTCTGTCTTCTCTGTCTGTGTTTCTGTCTCTCCCTGTCTCTGACTCTCTCTGTATCTGTCTCTGTCTCTCTCTGTGTCTCTGTCTCTCCCTGTCTCTGTGTCTCTCTATCTGTCTCTCTCTCTCTGTGTCTGTCTCTCTATCTCTGTCTCTGACTCTCTCTGTACCTGTCTCTCCCTGTCTCTGTGTCTCTCTATCTCTGTCTCTCTGTCTGTCTCTCCTTCCTTTTGGCCACTGTGGTCTGCATTATAGATACCGAAAGGCTGTCCAGCATATCCTGTTGCCTACTTCTAACACTCAGTCCTTGTCCAGGCGACCGTGTCCGGCTGCTACTGTCATCCCGGCCCCTCCCATATCCACCTTCGCCTCCTTCCCCCCCACCCCACGGGCTTTAAAGACGGCACGGACACGCCCTGAGTCAAGGAGGGCCGAAGTCACTGAGACGGGGAAGATCAGGACTGTTCCTCGAGCCGAGGTGCCCCCGCCCCCACCCCGGGTACAGACGCTCAGCTCCTGACTCCGGGACTGGGAGAGCCGCTGCCACCATCTTGGCGGTCACAGTGACTGCTGAGGACAGATCCCACGTCTCTCCTTTCCCTTCTTTGGGCCACGCTCAGGGACCTGGGGGGACGCTAGGGCGTTCAGGCGTGCACGCGTGGCTGGTTCGTGAGCGCCGCGTTGCTCACGGCCCCCCGAGGAGGAGCCTGGGCAGGAATCCGAGTGGGCTCAAGTGAGGAGACACACAGGGTGGCACCCGCAGAGAAGGGGGCCCTGCGGAGCCTAAGGAGGCCACCGCTGGCAGGCCGGGTGGACAGGCGAAGGCCGCCAAGTGTCTGCCCTCACTTGAGGTCCCACTGGGCCCTTGGAGACAACGGCTGCGAACGGCACAACCGCGCACTGAGGTCGCCCGCCCGTCCGAGGCGAGCCTGTCGAGGAACAGCTGGCCAGGAGGAGATTTCACGCTTTGCATCTTTCCTCTGGCAGGGCCGGTATTTTGAAATAATATGGAAACCAGCTCATTACCACCCCTTCCCGGCTGGCCTGCAGGCGGCTCTCGGGTTCCCCACAGGGGTGTGTCCCCACTGGGTGTGTCCCGCCTCTGCCTCGGTGTCGCTAGCTCTGACTGTCCCGCAGAAGCTCGTCTGCGTGAGACCCACGCAGCCACAGAGGCACGGCGGCAGCCTGGCGGCGGCTGAATCGCAGCACTCCAGCCTTCAGAAACGGAAGACGGGGACCAGAGCGGGGGCAGAGGGGAAGCTCTGACCCAGGGGGATGTCGCGCACTGTGGTCCCTTGGCACGGCCCGGCAGGGCCCCTGGAAGCCCTCCGAGCACCGCTGTATATGGAACCACCAGCCCCTAGGCCAAGAACCACACCGGGGCCCGGACACCTGAGCGTCCCTGGGGAAACTAGCCGAAAGCTGACGTCATGGTGAATTAAAAAAAAAAAAGTCCAGTAGCTGCACGCTAGAGCGCCTGGTCCAGAGGCCCCCCCCCCCCCCCCCGCACCGGATGGTCCCACTCGCTCGTGCACGGCTTTATTCCCCCCACAGCTGAGCTCTCACGCCAGACATCCAGCGACAAGCACCTCAGCACGGAGCCCGGCCTCTCCCTCTGCGGGGAGCGGTGGCCCCTGAGTAGACAGGTGGCGCCCTCCCAGGTGCGCTGGTGGACCAGCGCATGCACGAGCGAGTGGGACCATGGGGTGCAGGGGTGAGGGTTGAGGGGGCGCCAAGTGCTCTGGTGCTCAACCGCTGGGCTTTATTTTTCTTTTCGCCATGAGATACACAGTTACAAAGTTGTTCATGACCAGGCTTCAGTCATAGGATGTTTCAACACCGTCCCTTCACCAGTGCACATTTCCCATCACCAGTGTTCCCATTTTCCCTCCCACCCCCCCTCCCCTCATGCCCCTCATGCCCCTCCCCTGCCCAGCCTGCTCCATGGCGGCCGTTTTCCTTTCTGCTCAAGACCAGTGGCCCTCAGCCCTGCAGCCAGCTCACCAGAAATAGCTGCTCTATTTTTCAAACATTTTTCTTTTTAATTGAGGTACTGGGCTTTACAAAAACATTCTTTCTTTTTTGCTTGTTGGGTCACTCCTGGCTCTGCACTCAGGAATTACTCCTGGTGGTGCTCAGGGGACCATACGGGATGCTGGGAATAGAACCCAGGTTGGCCGCGTGCAAAGCAAACGCCCTAGCCGCTGTGCTATTGCTCCAGCCCCCTACAAGAATAGTCAATGATGGTTTCCCATGCACCCCTCCCCCCCTATCAGGGTCCTCCCTTTCACCTCCTCCCTGCCTCCCCACCAACCAACTCAGTTGTGAGTCACTTCTTCTTTTGCCTTTGGTCATGATGCTACATTTCTGTGCATCTCTAAGTCCCACATATGAGATCATTATGCACCTGTTCCTCTCCTGACCACATAGCATGGCCTCTAGTCCCATCCAGGTCGCGGCAAACCACATCATTCTGTTCTTTCTCAGAGCAGTATAGTATTCCATTACGTATATACCCTATAACTTCTGGATCTACTCATCTGTCACTGGGCATCTGGGTTGCTGGCTGTATCCTGGCCACTGTGCTAAGTGGAAACAGCTGCTTTAAAGCACAGAGCCAGCAGCCTCAGCAGCCCCGACCCTGGTGGTATGTGGCGGGTCCCGGACCCCAAATCCCTTCTCCTCCTCAGCCCTCCCCAACCCCCTCGCTTTTGTCTATTCCTGGCCCGCCAGCAAAGAAAAGGCCCAACACAAACATCAGGCAAATGTGTTTAATTTTTTAAAATAACTGATGGCAAAATAAAATATTTACATCACATCATACTGTGTAAACATGTCAGGTCTCTGTACAGAGAAATGTACATGCAAAACAATGTCAAAGTCCAACTGAAACCGTGACAGGAACAATACACAAACGGAAGGTGCGAGGTTAGGAACACACGTCCAGTTCTGAATCCGATTTCTCTTAAAAAGTTTCTGTACAATTTTACAAGAAACGAACAAAAAGCCCAAGGAAAGAATAAATAAAATGCCTCGGAAGCTGCAGCGCCGGGCGGGGTTCGCTGGTCCCCTTCCCAGTGTCCTTTCCCGAGCGCGGATGCAAAGACAGCCAGGAAAAGTGGAGCGTGTCCCGGCCGCAGCTCCGGGCGGTGCCCTGTGCCCGGACAGACCCCCTCAAAACCAGCTGCCAGCCGGCGGCTGCTGCATTGGCTTCTTTCTGGCCAAAGGCTCAAAATCCAGCCAGCTGTTTGTACAGAAAAGAGTAAAAAGTAGCAAATGCCCAGACTGATTTTGGGGGGGAGAGGGAATAATACTTTGGCATTCTGAATAATAGCACAATCGATTGGAAAACATTACCCTATTATCCAGCTTTATATTCCGAGTATGAAATCATTATTTTTTTTTTAACAGTCCTCAAAACCGACGAATTTCACTTCAGAGGTAACTCTCCCGGAACAGATGGCACGGCCACCCCCACCCCAGCCCACCCAGCACACGCACACCCCAAGCCACCCTCCCCCCGCTCGGTCCCCATCCTGTGCGTGCGCGCGCGCACACACGCACACCTACACACACCCACACACCCACTCACACACAAACGCGCGCGCACACACGCACAAAACCATAAAGCTCACTGGACGAAGCGTGTGCTTTTTCTATGCATTTATTACAGGTACAACAGAGGTCTTCATAAATAGTTGCATAAAATGTTAAAGCCACAACATTGCACATGATAGGAAATAAAACCCCAAAAAACCCCAATGCGCGCTTTTGCAGTACTTCCGTTTGACGGTCCTGCACCACAATCTGATTGACGGCTTGGGGGCGGGGCGGGGCCCTCTCAGCCCCGCCCCCTGGGCCACCCCCTCTCCCCCGCCCCCAGTCCCCGACGGTGTGGGGCGGGGGGCTGAAGGGTGGCCGAGCCGGAAGGCAGGACCAAGTCTTATATACAAGTAAGGCCTACATTTCATCAGAGCAAAACCATTCATTCTGTTTGTATGCAAAAGTCTGAGGTTGAATGCATGTTCCAGACGCCTCTCCTGGGGTTCCCCCCAGCTGCGGGCCCTGCGGGGGTCCCCCCCAGAGACGAGGGATCTCGGCTTGGTTCCTTAACACCGAGTGGTAGAACACAGGCATTTATTTCACTTCCTTGAATACATCTTGGAAAACGGTAAATTTGCAAAATTCTATTTGTGTTCCTTTAAAAAAGTTTTTTTTTAACTTTTTTTTTTTTTTTGCAGAAACCTGAATAAAAGACTGTAACACGGCAAGAGAGGAGGTCGTCCAGCCCAGCGCGGCCGGCAGCCGGGGGACACTCCCCCAAGCTGCGCTGGCCCGCCGGCCCTCGCGGACAGGCCAGGTCACAACGATCAACAACAGACGCAGCACTCGTCCGGTTGGTTGGCGTTTCTCGCAGGAGTTCAGATTAACAGCTGGTCGGCAGGTGAAAGAGAAGGAGAGTCGACTCCGAGGTCGCTCAGACTCGGGGCACGAGTCTGCTCTGGAGGAAGTTTTTCATGCTCCGGATGGATCGCACGTCGTTCTGGTGTTTGCGCCGCTCAATGAATGAAGTCAGCCTGGACGTGTCCAGGACGCCCTGGCCGTGGCCGTGGCCCGCCTGCAGCCACTGCTCCTGCAGGGCCAGGGCCGCCGAGGGCCGCTGGGCAGGGTCCTCTTGCAGGAGGAGGCACACGAAGTCCTTGGCCTCCTGGCTCACTCCTTCAAAGTAGCCATCTGGGAAGCTGAAGTCCAGCCGGCAAATGTTCACGCAGGTCTCTTCCGTGCTGTCGTCCAGGAAGGGGGACACGCCGCTCAGCAGGACGTAGGTGAGCACCCCCACGCTCCACGTGTCTGACGTCAGGGACACCGGGTTGCCCAGGATGATCTCGGGGGCGGCGAACTCGGGGTTCCCCAGCAGCTGGTGGATGTGGTAGGTGGTGGTGAGCTGCACGGCGTCGCCGAAGTCGGCCAGTTTGACGGTGGGCTTGGCTGCACTCTGGTCCACCAGGATGTTCTCGGGCTAGGGGCAGGAGGGGGCGGGTCACCGAGACAGCCCCCACCTCTGACCTCCCCGCCCCTTCCTAAGCTAGCCCGCCCCAGGTCGACCCGGTGGGACACTGGCGGGTTCGGTAGCGTCTGCGCTGGGCTTGACACCGCGGAGAGGCGTCTCTTCAGCTACAGCAGATGGGAAGCCGCCGTCCCCAACCGCCCGGCCCCTGGGAGCACTGTGGGCGGGAGCGGCGCCGAGGGCCGAGAATGCTCACCTTTAGGTCCAGGTGTGCGATCCTGCAGTTGTGAAGGTATCGGACGGCTTCCAGGACCTCCCCCAGGTACGCCCTGATCTTCCCCTCGGTGAGGTTTCCCCAGCGCACCACACAGTCCAGGAGACGGCCCTGGTCTGCCCTGGCAGGGGAACACCGGGCTGCGGTCAGCCAAGCACGGGCCAGTGGGCCCTGGGGGGTCGGGGCTGTCCCCCCCAACCACAGCTGGCCTGTTTCCGGAGGCTGTGCGCGCGCGCATGTGTGCGTGTGTGTGCGTGTGTGCTCGTGTGTTTGCATGTTCGTGGGGTCGTGACCTCGGGGGCCAGTCCTGGGGATCTCTGACCCTAGAGCCACCCCACAGCGCTGGGAGAGGGAGGCGAAGCACGTGCTCAGCCCTTTTGGCGATGTCCCCCACCCCATGAGGGGGATCCGTGTTCGCTCACTGGGGTTCTGGAGGGGAGGGATGCCATGGCCATGTCCCCTCACGAGGGCACCAGGAAACAGGGACAGCGGGCAGGCCCATGCTGAGACTCTGCCTCTAAGAGAGATGGGCGCAAAGGACCTGGGCATGCCTGCTGGCACCAGGACGGGCACACGGCAGGGCCAGGCGGGTGCAGGGCACAAGGGTGACTTCAAGATGTTTTGGGTGGGAACTTGTTACGTCTGGTGGCTGCAAAATTCCTCTTACGGAATTTCTGGGCTTTGGGCCACACCCGGCCGTGGTCAGGGGTCATTCCTGGCAGTGTCCAGGGGACCATGGGGGATCCGGGGGACCGGCCCGGGTCAGCTGTGTGCAAGGCAAACACCTTCCTGCTTGACCATCACTCTGGCCCTGGGAAATGACTCTTAGTATCCGGCAGCCAGGACTGGGACGGGCAGAATGCTACCAACAAAGCGTCTGATCTGCATCTGCCACACAGCCCACAGCATCTCTGAGGCCCCTGCTTAAGGCCTGTCGCCTCCCCTGGGTCACGCGGCATTTCTGTGAGCGCCGGCTTCACCCGGTGGGCACCTACCCCCTGAGCACTGCTCTGGGCCGGCCTTCTCTGCAATACTGAGGTCTGTGGGAAGGGCAGGTCCCGACCGGGTCCTAGGGGCCGTTCGTTAGGGGGAAAGCACATGACTGCTGTGAGGGTGACTCCCCGCGGCCGGGCGGTGGGGGACAGGGCTTCCTGGGGAGGATGGCAGAGCCTGAAGCCGGAGGAGCCTGGAGCCCCCTTGGCTTGGCGTTGCACTGTGTTGGGGTGTGTGTGTGGGGCTCGCCCTTCACCCTGGTGTTGCTCAGGGGACCAGACGGGGAACTCGGGCGCGGACCTGGGCGGGCTGCCTGCAAGGCCGTGTCTGCCCCACCCCACCTGATTTCTGACAGTTCAACTGGACAGGTCTGGAGAAAGCTCAGGAGGGTGAATGACTCCCAAGACCCAGGGGGGCTAAGGGCCCCAGGGCTGGGTCACTGTGGGGCCTTTAGGGTCACCATCATTCCCGGGGCCAGGAAGGGTCTCGGCAGGGAGGGGTGGAAGAGCAGTTTCCGTGCACCCCAGGATGAGGCTGAGGGTGGTTCTGGGTCCGTGGGGGGGGTCCCTTCCTTTGGTCTGCAGCTCCCAGGAAGGGGTGCGGGTAAGTGCACAGCCCAGGGGTGGGGTGCTGCCTACACAGCTCAGGGTCAGAGGACACCCCCAATACCCCCAGGATGGGGGGCTGGGCAAAAGGCAGGGCCTGAGATAGCCAGCCAGAGTCCTGCACCCTGGGCAGTGGGCTTCTCGAGAGTCCTGGGGACCAGGGGGCCCCTCCAGGGTGGCAGGGGCCGCACCCTCGCGTCTGTGGTTACCCGAAAGCTGTAATACTGTGGTCGCACAGAAACTACACTTTGGGGTCCAGAACAACAGTGTGGCAGGGAGGGCATTTGCCTTGCACGGCCCACCCGGCTCGAATCCCAGGAACCCCATATGGGCCTGCCAGGAATTATCCCTGAGGGCAGAGCCAGGAGTCAGCCTAGAGCATCTCTGGGTGTGGCCCCCAACAAAAAGCCATGCTTTGGGGGAATTCTCTGGAGCCCCACTCCTGAGAGCCATCCCCTATGGGGCATGACCAGACATCAGGGGACAGAAGCTCCGGGGCCAGGTGAGGGGCGTGGCTGGCAGCCAGTGGGCGTGACCAGGGCATGACCGGCGACGGGGGCATGGCTGGACGCCAGGGGGCGTGACTAGGAGCGGGGCAGGGGGCCAGGTGGTAGAGCTGGGGGTGTGGCTGGCAGCCAGGGGGCGTGGCCAGGGTGTGCTGGTAGACAAGGGGCGGGGCCGGGACATGGCTGGTGGCTAAGGGAAGGGGCCCAGGGGGCGTGGCCAGGGCGAGACTGGTTGTCAGGGGCGGGGCCAGGGCAAGGCCAGGCGCGGCGGGGCGTGGTTGGGGGGGGGAGATAAGGAAGGGGCCGGCGGCCAGGGATGGGACCCGGCGGGGCCTACGCACATTTCCAGCACCAGGACGTAGCTGGTGGGGGTCTCGAAGGTATCCAAGAGGCCCACCAGCAGCGGATGCTGGAGGTTCTGCAGGATCCCCAGCTCGTGGGTGACCTGGTCACGCTTCATCAACTTCTTGTTCACGAACTTGGTGGCCACTGCGCGCTTGGTTCCCTTCTGATCGCATTTCTTGACAATAGAGAACCGGCCCCTGGGAGGAGGGCGGGAAGGGCACCTTCAGAGGACCGCGGGACCCCTGATCCCCCGAGGCCTGTGGGAGTTCCGTGTCTCTCTCTCTCTCTCTCCCAGGGCTGACCCACTTCTGGGCTCTGCATCCTGGACACGCCTGTGGGAATGCCCCTCGCTACTGGAGATTGGAGGGCCCACCGATGGGTCTCTTGGGCTGCATCCCACTCTGGTGTGACCGCAAGCAGGAGCCTGCTTCCCCAGGGGACAGCCCCGGGGGGTGGGGGAATCGGGCAGCAGCCTCCAGCTCCTCCCTGCCGTCCTAGCGGCTGGCTGGCTCTGACCAGTCACCGAATGGAGAAAGGGCAGCAGGGGGGCCCGTGCACCAGGTGAGGCACCAGGTCCGCGGGTGAGGTGAGGCAGTGACAGTCGACAGCCCAGGGGAGACCTCCAGGACGCGGTCCCTTCAGCCACACGCCAGGTGCCCGGCCCCTGCCGCACTTGCTGGCCTCGTCCCGAAGGATACCAGTGGCAGTACACGCAGCCCAGGACGGCCACCAGTGCGGCCAGAGGCTGGGAAAGGTTTTTGGAGGCAGCCCAGATCCGCTGCTCGGCCAGGGGACACGAGGGGGAGGGGGCCGAGTACTGGGTGGGCTGGAGGGAGAAGCTGGGGGCCCTTCTTGGGGAGAAGCAGCCCCTCCCCCATCCTGAGACCCCAGCCCACCTCCCCGGGATGCTGCGAGAGTCCAGTGCGACAAGACACAGCCTGGAACTGCCCTGAGATTCCCCCAGCCCGGGGCTGGCCCACGCTGGTCGCAAGCCAGCAGAGTGACTGCCGGATGGTAGCAGACGGCAGTGTGGGTCCAGCCCTGACTTCACTGCCCGGGGCCTTCCTCTGCTTGGCACTGAAGGGAGGCGCATGTGGGCTACCACACTTGCTGAGTCTCCCTCGCTGGACAAGGGCACCCTCTCGGCCGGTCCCCCTGCAACCCCCCGCCCCCAACCCCCACTCTGGGTGTGACGTCATACCTGCCAAGCTCGGCCACCTCGCTGTATAAGGCGTCAAAGTTGTCCTTCCAGGTCACCACGATGCCATCACGCCCTGGACCTGCGGCGAGAAAGGCAGCGTCTCCCCTGAGCTGGGGCTGTGTGTGGGGGCAGAGTTGGACCAGGAAAGGTGCCACCCCTTGCAGCGGTCTCTGTCAGCAGCCCCCTCTGCGGTCTCGAGTCTTCCCTCTCGAGATCCGGATCGTCTTGCTGGTGCCCGAGATCCCTGGACGGGAACACTTCCTGGGTCCTCAGCCCCAACTCAACTTCCATCTCCTTTTACTTTCCTGCCTTTGGCGGTGCTGGGGATCCATTCCTACCCCGCCCCCAGTTCCGGGAAGCCCCTTGGGGTGGTGGCAGGCCCCTGACCGGTACTTGGTGCCCCTCCCTTGCCCCCGGCTCTTCCAGCAGCTCACTGCGGGGACCCGCAACAGGACCTGAAGGGGCCTGGGGAAGGGGCTGCCTCTAGGCTCAGGGCCCGCAAGGTGGGGTGACCGGACCTGCCTGGCCATGACCCCTGCGAGAGAAGGCCGGGGATGACTCAGGGCAGTGCTCGGCCCCCGGGAGACCAGGGGATGCCAGAACAGGGCTCTGAGAACCCGCCATGCTCCCCTGTTCGGGGCCCACCTGGACCCCGAGATCCCAGTCAGCTCAGCAGCCGCCCCAGGGGCACCCCTGTCTCAGGCTACATGATTCAGCTGACGGTCATGTGGGCAGGGGGGAAGGCGGAACTTGGGGTCCCGGCCTCGGGCAGCACTTACCTAGCACCCTCAGACTGGCCGAGGACGAGGCAGACCCCATGTCGTTCACTGCGATGCACGTATAGATGCCATCGTCGTCCGTGGTCACGCCCACGATCTTCAGAGCGGCCTCGCCCAAGTCACTGCAGGGGGGGCGGGGGCGGGGAGTTTCGTTAGGAAGGTCCCCAAACCTGATCTCGCTTGGCCCCGGCCTCTAGCCTCCAGGGGCCCCAGGAAGGTACCAGCCTGGTCTAGCCTGGCTCAGGCCCCAGGAAGCAAGGGGCTCCAGTATGGTGCCCAGGGAGTGAGGAGCTAGCCTAGGGGGTCTCAGGAAGTGAGGGGCTAGCCTGGGGGTCTCAGGAAGTGAGGGGCTAGCATGGGGACCACTGAGGGGCTTCAGTATGGGGCCCAGGGAGTGAGGGGTTATCCTGGGTATCTCAGGAAGTGAGGGGCTAGTCTGGGGGGGGTCTCAGAAAGTAAGGGGCTAGTCTGAGGGTCTCAGGAAGTGAGGGGCTAGCCTGGGGCCTCTCAGGAAGTGCGGGGCTAGCCTGGGGGGGGTCTCAGGAAGTGTGGGGGCCCCAGCTGGCCGTGCTCACCTGTAGGAGATGCTGTAGTGGCCGTCGCTGCTCAGGGTGTTGTGCTCGGGGCCTTTCCAGGTGATGGAGGCCGTGGGGCGGCCACAAACACGACAGCGAAGAACAGCGGTCTCTCCCGTCTCACACGTGACCTCGCTCAAGGGAACGACGAAATCTGGGGGAACTGTGTGCGGCGGCGGAGGGGGAGGGTGTGAGTGGGTCGCCCGTTTCTCCCTGCACCTGAGTGCAGAGCCCCACCGAGCCCCGGTTCCGTCCCGACCCTCCCCCTCCCCCCCACGCCCCAGTCTGCACGGACTCACCGTCATAAATGTAGCTGGGGTTGAGAAGCTGGAACGGAAAAGCGGCAGCATGAGCGCGCAGCCGGGCAGACAGGCCACACGGCCGCGTCCCTCTCAGGACAGATGACACCTGTCCCCAGCTCGCGGTGCCCTGCAGAGCCCCTCCTGCCTGCAGGTGAAATCCTGGCACCGACTGGGCGTACATTCCCCCCTTGCCCAGGACGAGGTGGGTGGTGGTGACAGGCACCTAGAACCCGACTTCCGCTTGAGGCTGCCACCCTGACCCAGGGCCTTTTATTTTTTGCTTTCCTCCCCCCCCCCCCCCTTTTTGCTACACTTCTCGGTGCTCAGGAGTCAGTGCTGGGACTGGGTGTGTGACCGTGCTGAGCCGGACACCCCCCCCCCTCTCCCCCCCGTTTAAGGTACAATGATCTTAGAAGGAGGAGCGGTAGCACGGCCCGGGAACTGGCTGGAGCCCAGATGTGAGTGTTGTCCTGGGAGTTTCTGCCCCAGGCGGAGCTGCGGCGCCTGATGCCGGGCCCTCCCCGCACTCACCTTCACCGATACCTTGCTGCTGGCCCCTTCCCGGGATTTCCGATATCCGTTCTCCAACTTGCCTTCCCGTTTGCCGTCTTTTTCTTTTTTCTCAGATTTTTTCCTTAAACGGAGTGCTGTGTGCCAAGATGTCGACTTCCTGGTGGGGGAAACGGCCTTAGTCCCGGAGGGCCCTCTGCTTCCCTGGGGCTCGGGTGCCAAGGCCACCCCCCACGTGGAGACCGAGGCTATTCGAGGCTTCGCCCGCCAGGACCCGGGGACAGGTACGGTCGGGGAGAGATGGGCGGTACTGCGAGAGACAGCAGGGACAGGGTCATCACAGAGCTGCGGACCTCGGCCCTGGACTGTGCCTGAGAATCCATCTCACCTTTCCTGGGTTCTCCAGGACAGGACCTAAGCCCACAGGTTTTGACAAACAGACCCTCCGCGGCCAGAGAGAGAGCGCAGCGGGGAGGGCGCCGGCCAATCAACCCCAGGAACCACAGGACAGACCCAGGTGCAGAGCCAGGAGGGATCATGAGCACGGCAAGCCGTGGCAACACACACACACACACACACACACACACACACACAAAAAAAAAAAAAAAAAAAGGGAGACAGCACCAGAGTGAGCTGGCGGGGCTGGACTGCGTCTTTGCACACAGGAACCTTGGGGCTGATCCCCAGTACAGCAGGGTCTCCAGACATCTGAACTGGAGCGCAAAGCCGAGACCCTCTAGCGTGCTCGGGGAGGCTTGAGGAGAACCAAGGCTGGTTTTCCAAGCAGTGGGGGCTGCGGGGACTGTGCCCACTGCTGATCTCCAAGAGGGCACTTCGGTTCCCGAAAATGGACAGCCGCACTTCTGCACACATGAACATATGTATGGACACCTGCATACTTTCACACACATGTACACACATCCACGAACTTTCACACACATGTACACAGATCCATGAACTTTCACACACATGTACACACATCCACGAACTTTCACACACAGGTACACACATCCACGAACTTTCACACACGTACACACATCCACATACACCAATATACACAGATCCATGAATTCTCACACACCCACACTTACACATGTACACATACTCATGTACTTTCACACACATGTGCCCAGATCCACATACTTGCACACATGTACACACATCCATGAACTTTTGCACACGTGTACACACACCCACTCACATACATGTACACACATCCATGAATTCTCACACACATACACACATGTACTTTCACATATATGTACACACATCCACGTACTTTTGTACACAGACACACGTGTACGCATGCGCATGTTACTCACTCCTACGTGGACTCACGAGAAGCACACTCAAACATGCACCTGCACACACACTCGGCCACGCACTCACATATGCAGTCTGAAGCGAGCACGGACTGCCTCCACATGGGGCCTAAGAAGGTCTCACTTCAAGGAACCGAAGTGAGATCCTGGAACTATAAGGAAGAGAGACCGAGCGGCCGGGCGCCACCCTGGACGCCAAGCTGGCTGTGACCTGCACCCCAGCTGTCCCCCCAAACCCAGGGCCCTGGAGACCCCGAGTGCTGACCAGCCTGTGCCAGCATCCGGGCCCTAGTTTCGGGGGGTTCGAAACCTGCCTCCCTCACCCCGAAGCAGCCAGCGAGAGAGTAGCTCGGTACTCTCTTTCTTTTCTGGGGGCTCCACACCTGGCAGGGCTCGGGTGACCCTATGGGAGGCCGGAGACTGGATCTGGGTCAGCCACCTGCAAAGCAAACGCCCTCCCAGCTGTGCCATGGCTCCGGCCTCGGTCGGTTCTCCCCAAAGGCACAGACCGGGTTTTCAGGGCCCCTCCATCAGCCCTGTGTGTGACAGGGCTGGGGTCAGTCATCCCCCTGAGCCCCGGCACGGAACACTCGCCCCGCGGGGCCTGGCCGCGGCCACTCACTTGAGAGTCCCGTCGGGGTTCTCCGTGATGAGCGCGCTGGTGTGTCCCAGGACCAGGCCCGGGATCCAGCCCTCGGCGGCGGGGCACTGGTCAGTGGCGGCGCGGAACACCAGGAACATGTTTTGCTGGTTGCTGGCCAGAACCTGAACGACCTCTCCTTGGCAGACGTTTATCTCATCCTCCTTCACTGCCGTGTAATCGTGCGTCACCAACATGGCGGAGATGTTGCTACTGCTGCTGCTTTCACTCTGCGGGGGAGACAAAGGCGGGCGCTGCGGCGGGCCGGCCCCCGAAGGCCACATCTGGGCCACGCACTCCCTCTCGTCCGGCCCCGTCAGCCGCCCCACCCCCCGGACTCTGGGCCCTGTTGCGGGCTGGCTCGGTTGCAGGGAGGCCCCCCAAATCGGCAGCTCCGGTGCTGGCTGGGATGCGTGTCCCGTGGTCCGGCCACACGGGCTGTGCTCCGTGGTCCCTTCGGCAGAGGGATGCCCGCGCCGTCTGTCCTCAGGGACTGTCCCTCGGTGGTGGCCCCTTCGCCAGCAGCCCAGGCCCGGCTGTGGTGGGTTAGACGCCCGCCTGGAGAAGCCGCTTGCTCCTGCTCCCACGTCCTCTGTGTCCCGGAGCTCAGCCCGCCGGCCACATCTCCGCACTGAAGCCGAGATGCCTCCTGAGGCCACCTCGAGCGGGCAGAAGAAATGGAAATGGCAGCAGCTTTTCTTTTTCCCTTTTCCTTTTCCTTTCCTTCTTTTGGGTACCAAGCTGTCATGTGTGCCCGGAGCGGAGGAGGGTGCGGGCCACTGCCAAAGGCTGAGTGAGCCCACGGGTCTCTTTGCCCTCTGCGGTGGTGGCTCGTGGGTGGGCGGCTGTGGCAGTCAGATGTCAGCCACCACTTCCGATGCTTGAAGATGCGCCGAGGGTAGGCAGATGCTGGCCCAGCTGCTCCTGGTGGCCCCGGGCTGTCGTCCTGACCCAGGCCTCTCAGCCCGGGCTGCTGGTGCCGGGCTGGGGAGTGTGGGCGAAGACCCAGCAGCGCCCCCCTGGGGCCGGGCCCGGGAAAGCCAGCAAGCTGCACTTGGCAGACACGGTGGGGGCCAGGAGAGGCTTCTAAAGACCAGCCTCTCCCAAAGCGGGGGATACTACAGCCCCGAGTGGGGGGCACCGGGATGATGGGGCGTGGGCAGGGCCATAGCACCTCAGATGTAGTTGCGGGGGCTTCCTGTTTGCTGACAGAAGGCAGATTCCAGGGGGGCACTGGGTGAACTTTTTCTTTTCCCCTGAACCCTGGTGGTCGGTGAAGTCGTCTCTAGTGGAAGTGGGAATGCAGAGCCGAGAAGCTGAGCCGACCCAGGGCTCAGCACGCTTGTCTCTGCCATCTGCCCTCGTTCCGGGGGCACACCACGGCACTGGGCCACGGGGCACACAGGGCTGGCACGGGGAAGGCTGCTGTGCAGGCCTCGTCTCCGCCCCGGGAGAATTATGCCTCCGAGTGGACCCGGAACAGCCTCACCGCGTGCCCGGCATTCAAAGCACACCTCACTCAAACCCACCCGACTCGGGCTATGGCCACAGTCACGGTGCCTGGCCCCATGGGGCACGGTGGGTGGGGTCTGCAGGGGTCACCGGCATCCAGGAGAAAGTGGGGCACCCCTTCGTTCTTGCTGGGGGTGGGGTGGCGTGGGAGGGTGCAGGAAGCTCGTGTGGCCACTTGGGGGCCCTGCTCTCCGGGTACATGCCCCTGCACTCGGCACAACTTTCCAGCAGGGGGCACAGCTGTGACCGCAGACGGCTCCTTGGAGCTGGGTGTGCGTGCGTGTATGTGTGCGCGCACGTGCGAGTGCTTTTTCAGGGCGACACTGCAGAATCCTGGGGGCTCTTTCCAGCTCCCCAATGGGCACTGAGGTCCCTGCTTTAAACTTGGGGCATGGTGAGTGGGGCTCATGCGGGGGGGTCACCTGTACTGGGCCAGTAGCGGGGTTCACTGAGCAACTCATGTGCCCAGCTCAGGGGTAAGCTGTCAGCTTCGGAAGTCACACTTGCCCCCCCCCCCCGCCCCCGGTCTGCAAACCCCACATTTCCCCCCAAATGGGCCCCAGGGGCCAGGGGCGAGCGAGGCACTCCTCCCCCAAGCGCAGCAGGGAAGAGGAGGGTGGAGGAAGGGCTAACTCTACGGCAGGCCCACCCCAGGGGCGCCCATGCAAGTTCAGAGGCGAGAGAGTGAGAGAGAGAGAGAGAGAGAGAGAGAGAACAGGTTTTGCGTTGTTCATAAAGAGACACAGACCCCCTTTTAGGGAAATGTATTTAAAACCCGATCAAGCCATCAACATACACCCGGCAGGACAGTTCTCTCTCACGCACACCTTTCAGAGCGCCGTGGCCGGGCCGGCTCTCGGGAGGAGGGAGTGTGCCGGGTGGGAAGGTGGGAGCCGCCGCCGAGGATGTGTGTGTGTGTGTGTGTGTGTGGGGGGGGGGGCGCCTCCTGGCTGGGGCAGGGATGGGCGCTGGACGGAGGCACAGCTATGCCCCCCTAACCCCACCCCCAGGGCAGAAGCCCCTTCTCAGGGGTCTCTCCTCCAGCTGTGAAACTACAGGGGGCTGGAGGGTGTCAAGACGCCCCCTGGAGACGCTCTCCCCCCCCCCCAGCTTTGTTCTGGTCTGAGACGACGTGTCCTCGAGGGGCTGTTCCTTCTCTCCCGGCAGAGGAGTTCAAAACCAAAACACACACACACAGCCGCCACCCCCGAAAAAAAAAACACTACAAAGATAAACTTAAGGCAGAAAAGGACGCAACCAAGAGACGAGGGCGGTCAGTACAGGTGCCGGCAGAGAGAGGCCGAGGGGCGGCGTGTGCCGCCGTGGGGGGCCTGGGCGGCATCGGCGGTGGAAGCGGCGCCGTGGTGGTGGATGGAGGGGACACACAAAGCCAGACAGGGCGAGTGAGTGAGTTAGTAGAGACGAGCGGCCGTCCCGGAGCGGAGGGGAGGGTTAGAGGCGGCGGAGTCCACGGCGGGCGAGCGCAGCAGTCAGGCCGAGCCGGCGAGCCGGGTTAGTGGGGTTCGGAAGAGCTGGCGCGACAGAGGCAGCGGGCGGGCGGGCGGAGGCTGCCGGGCGTTCTTACCCCATTGCTCTGGGTGGACTGCACGGACTGCTCGCTGGCCGAGGAGCACGTGCTCATGCGGTCCGTGTCCTTGGCGGGGGCCGCGTGGCGGGGCGCTGGCCGCTGCAGGGAGTCACTGTCCCCGGGGAAGGTGAAGGAGCCCGGCCGGCTGGCGGGCGAGGCGGGCACGGAGCTCCAGAAGGAGCCCCCCTTCTGCAGGGGGCTGCCGGGGGGCTCCCTGGCGGCGGCGGCGGCAAGCGGCGAGTGCAGAGGCGATGCGGCCCCGGGCCGGGCCTTGCCGAGCGGGAGGGTGCCCGGGCTGGGGCGCGGCTGGGCGCGGCCGCCGTCGCTGTCGGGGGGGCGCGCGCGCATCCCGGCAGCCGCCGCTGGGGTCGGCGCCCTGGCGGGGGCTCTCTGGCACCTTCGTCCCGGGGGTCGGCTCGGCCTCTCGCGGGGGGCCTTCGGCGGCCGGCAGGGCCGGGCCGGGGGTGGACGTACCTGACATCTTGTCGGCCTCCGCCTGGCCGGGGGGCGCGGAGGAGACCAGCACGGGGGAGTGGTGTCGGACGGGCTGGGGGATCCGGGAGGGCCTGCTCCGGCCGGCGCCGCCCGCGGGGCCCGCGCCGTGGTTGCCGCCGCCGCCGCCCGGGCCCGCGGCCCCGCCGCCGCCCCCGCTGTGGTTCCTCTGGTACTCGATGGGCGATGTCAAGGCTGCAAGGCAGGCGCGGCTCAGGGCGCGGGGCGCGCAGGGCGCAGGGGGACGGGGGCGCGCGGGGGATCGGGGCCAGGAAAAGCGTGCGGGACACGGGGCGGAGTGCATGCAGGAATGGGGTGCGAGGAACCGGGGGCGCAGGGCGCGCGGGGTGCGGGGAATCAGGGGCGCAGGGCGCGCGGGGAATCAGGGGCGCGGAGCGCGCAGGAACGGGGGATGCTGGGCGCGCGGGGGAATTGGGGGCTCGGTGTGTGGGGGAATGGGGGCGTAGGGCGCGCGGAACGCAGGGGAAGTGGGTACGGGAAATCAGGAGCGCAGGGCATGCGGGCATGGGGCGCAGGGAATCGGGGGCGCAAGGTGGTGAGGTGCGGGGGAATCGGGGGCGCAGGGTGTGCGGGATGCGGGAAAATAGGAGGCTCGGGGGAATCTGGGACTCAGGGCGCGCGCGCGGGGGGGGGGGGCTCAGGAGGAGGAATCGGAGGCTCGGGGCGCGGGGTGCTCGGAGCGCACGAGGCTGGCGGGGGGAATTGGGGACTCGGTGCATGGTGCTCGGGGACTTGGCTCAGGCCTTGCAGGCACCAGTGAGTCCGAGGAGGCACAAGGTCTGCACAGCGAGCGCCTTAGGGCGAGTGGCCGGCATAAACCCACCCCCACCCCCCAGAGTGTGCCAGCCAGAGGGCGGAGGCTCCCCAGAGGACCCCAGAAACAATTCCTGGACCACCTCGGGCCGCGGCTGCTTGTTGGCCATAGGTTGAAATTCAAGGAGCGGCAGCAACTGCAGAGACTGGCCAGCGGGGGGAGCCCGAGGGGCGGGCGAGCCGGGAGGACCCTGGAGGGCTGCTGGGTGTCTGCCTGGCAGTGGGCGCCCGAGCACTGGGCTGCTACTGGCCATGGGAACTGAAGCAATGGGCTGCTCCTGGCATCCTGCTGGCACCTGAGAACGGGCTGCTACTGGCCACGGGGACCTGAGCAGTCCAGCTTCTCTCATCAGCCGCACCACGAAGCGGGAAGGGCCAGTGGCATCTGCCCAGAAGGCAGCTTCCCTGTGCCACACAACTGAGCGCACGTTCCACAGGGCCACATGGGCCAGAGTCTGAACAGCCGAGTGGACCTGAGGCCCAACACTCAGAAGGTCATAGGCATGGCGGGGGCTGGCTGGAAGGGACCGGGTATGGCTGGGGCTGGTGGCCGGAAGGGACCAGGGCATGGCTGGGGCTGGCCGGAAGAGGGTGGGGTGGGGAGGGAGGGTGCACAGGCGGGAGGTACCGTTTAAAAAATTGCGCTGGTTTTCTAAAATCTGGTTGATCTCATGAATCCACGTCTGCCGGACACTGGGGCTGGACGCGTGCAGGATGAAGGTCTCCAGCGCCTCGCCCGTCCGTGACGTCAGAGCAAACTTGCAGGGATCGTTGTCCACGTTCTCCTCCAGACACAGGCAGCTCACCTTCAAGCAGTGCACGGAGGGGCGATGCGTGAGACATCACACACACACCCACGCCCGCGGGGCTCGGTCTAGGAGAAGGGGCAGCTGCTGCCCGGTACCCGTGGGACATGGCGGAAGCCTCACCAGTCCACTTTTGAAGGCCCAAATGATGGACAGCAGGGAGGGCACTGGTCACACATGCATATGCCCTCCCCGCCGGACTATCCTCCAGCACGCCATGTGACCCCTGAGCCTATCAGGAGTGGGCACTGAGCACCACCAGGTGTGGTCCCACACAGAGAAATAAACCAATGACCCAATACTTCAGGGTTGTGGGGAGTGACGGAGGAATGGAGGGCAGGGGACCCTGGGGCGGGGCTCAGTGTCAGGAAGCAGGCTGAGAGGCCCCTGGGCATGGCTGGGGCAGGTGAGAACACTGGGCACGGCTGGAACAGGCCAGGGCACCCTGGGCACGGGTTGCAGAACAAACGCAGTGCCTTATCTGTCACTTAGGCCACAAGCCTGCACTCAGCCATGGCGCCAAGGGTCCTGCCGGGGCCCGGATAACAGCAGAGGCTGCCGGTGCTCACGTGCCGGCAGGTACGTCCCCCAGAGAGCCCGATTGCAGCGCCCGGAGTGGGCAGACAATCTGCTTCTCTCTCGGGCCATACCCAGCGGGGCTCAGACTTGTTCCTGGCGGGGCTCAGGGGAACCTACGTGGTGCCATGGCTCGGACTCGGCTCAGCAGGGCACATGCCCTCCGGCGGACTCTCTCGGGTCCAGGGAGGCATCTCGGGGCACACTGGGACACTTGTGCGGGGCCACAACCAGTGGCACGAGGGGGGGGGCAGCGGCCAGCCACCATCCACGGACTTGAAGGGGCCACTTGGGCCACGCCCAGAGTTGTATGCCGCCTGAGGGGTGGACAGCTGCCTGTGAGGAGTACGGCTGCGGGGGGCACAGGCACCTACGAGGAGTACGGCTGTGAGGAGTGTGTGAGGAGTCCAGCAGCGAATGGTACGGGTGCCCGTGAGGTGCGTAACGTGAATGGATGAGGTGAAGAGTGTGAGGGGCGTGCAGGTACTCGTGAGCTGTACGGCTATTTCTTGGGCCACTCCTGACCCCCGCACGGCACTTCCTTTTTGGGGCCACACAAGGGTTGGTGCTCAGGACTTATTCCTACTCTGCAGTCAGGAATTGCTCCTGGCTGGCTCTGGGGACCCTCTGGGGGACTGGGGATTGAAAGTCCACCTCCCCCCATGGCACTCAGCACTCCCAAGAAGCATGCTGAAAGTAGACTGTGGACCGAACATGATTGCCACTCAATGCCTCTTTTGCCAACCAAGGCACCCAAAAGGAGAGAGAGAACAAAGAGGCGGGGTGGGATCGGAGGGATGGGGGGTGGGAGGGCTACTGGGATCATTGGTGGTGGAGAATGGGCACCGGTGGAGGGATGGGTACTCGATCATTGTGTAACTGAAATCCAAGCACAAGAATTTGTAAATCTACAACTGTACCTCGTGGTGTTTCACTAATAAAAAAACAAACAAACAAACAAAAAAACAGAACTCCTGCAGGTCATAGAGGGGGTCAGGTACCAGACGCGTCACTAAGCCTGTGCAAGGGCCTGCTGGCAAACCAGAGGGCCGAGCCCGACCTGTCTCTGCCTCAGTTGCCAGGCAGTCACAGTTTCACTCACACATCTGGTGTTGACCAAGGCTTCTGAGCTGTCGAGGCAGATTTCCTGCCAGAAGTCTCACAATGAGAATAGTGGGGAATGGGGACAGCCACGGGGCCCGAGGGGACATGGCTGTGCGAGGGCAGGGAGGCCTGAGGCCCAGCTGCGTCCTCGGTGGTGTGTGGGTGGGGGGGGTGGGGGGTTGGGCTGGGGCACATTTCACCTCAGGGCCACAGGCAGTGGAGACTACAGCTGTGTGTGTGTGTGTGTGTGCGCACGCGCACACACACACACACGCACACACCTACGTCTCTTAGGCCCTTCTTCTGGGGCCTCGGCCACGTTTGGTGTGTTACAGCAGGCCTGCCCACGGGGAGTCGCTCACTGTGGCCACGCATGCAGGTCACTGTCCGGGGCTGAGCGCACAGGCCAGGAGACCAAAGGAAACGGGGCTCGGCTCCGGCCTTGCTGTCAGACAGGACCCGGGGCCGTGGGACTTGAACCACCAAACTGGCCACCAAACTGAGGTCTCCTTGCTGTAGGGCAGTTATAGGCCCCGGAGACCACAGACAGGGGTGGCAGCGGGTGAATCCTGGATTCTGAAAGCTTCTAGAAAATTCTCAAGGCACGTAACCCTGGACTGGGACACAGGCGGTTGGAAGGGAGGCGGGCCACGTGGGCGGGAGGACGCCCCGCCGTACCTTGATGCTGTTCTTGAACAGGAACCCCGGCATGGAGAAGCCCTTTTTCTTGTCCAGCGGCTCGCTGAAGATGACGATCTGCTCGAAGAGGAAGACCCGCCGCTCCCTGCAGCGCGGCAGGAGGCCCGCGTCCTGGTCGGTGACCAGGAACGTGTCCTGCAACAGCAGCTTGCCCTGGGCCACGATTTTGCCCTGGGTGGGGGGGGAGCACACAGAGAGATCCAAGTCGGGTCCCCGAGTCCCTGCAAGCCCCCGTTCCAGACAGGGGGACGTCTGCTGGGGGCTCTGGGACCTAAAGCTCAAGCTTCCTTTTCTGGGTCTTTCTTTGCTTTTTGGACCACACCCGGCAGTGCTCAGGGGTTGGCAGTGCTTGGGGGACAAGACGGGATGCCGGGGCTGAACCTGGGTCGACCGCATGCAAGGCAAAGGCCCTCCCCGCTGGACTGTACTGCTCCGGCCTCCGGCTTCCTTTTCTCTCCTGCGATGGGTATTTGCCTTGGACGGCAGAGACACCCGCTGTGCTGGGGCGGGGGCATGAAGTGGGCACGCGGAGGAGACCCCGCAAATGGGACCCGCCTCCCCGAAGTCCCCAGCTGAGCCGTGTGCAGAGGGGGCAGCCCCCGCCCCACAGGCCGGCGGGGCGAGCAGGCGAGCGAGGAAGTGGCCCTTACGTCGAATCCCTGCAGCCGGCCCACGTTCATCATGTCGTTGCACCGCTTGGGGACGATGCACATGACCTCCACGGCGCGCTGCGGGCGGGGGACAGCATGAGCGCCCGACCACTGTCCACACAGACCCGGCCAGCAAGGCCCCGCCAGCAGAGACCCAGGCCCGGCGACATCCCCCAAGCACAGACTCCATCAGCAAGCCCCCCTGCCCAGCACAGACCCCGCCCAGCAGAGAGCCCAGTCCAAAGAGCGCCACGGCCAGCATAGACCCAGGCCCAACAGACCCCAGTCCAAGTACCTCCAACTCTGATGTGTCCAGGCTGGCTTTCTTGGAGTACTTGAGGAAGTCCTGTGAGGGGAATGGGGGTGGGGGAAGACGGTGAGGACCACAACCACCCTCCCCTCTCCATCCGGGATCTGAGAGATGGGCTTGGAGGGCCGTGGACCAAGGAGGTGCTGAGGGCTTCAGCTGGAGCTGTGAGCCCCCGGCGTTGGTGGTGGGGGGGGAGGTGTTCCACACACACACAGCCGCTGCAAACACTGACTTAGACCTCAGGACCCAAAGATGGTGGGGGTCGATGCCACTTTTACAGTGGACTACTATCCGAGAGCAAATGGAAAATGGAAGGAATAGAAAAAACAGGAGGAAAAAAAAAGCACCCAAAGGTCCAACTACAGATGAACAGATATCGTGATCTGTTGACACAATGGAATAGTATGCAGCTCTGAAAAAGTGTGGAATTATGCAACTGCTGTAAAATAGGTGGAACTAGAGGACATAAGGCTGACTGAAGTCAGCAGGGTACAGAATGGTCTCTCATATGTGGGTCTTAAAGATACACAGTGAGGCAGCAACAGGGGCCAAAGGTAACACAACAGGAGAATGACCCACAGCACTGAGTTTGGGGGGGGCTTGAACTCAACTCCCCATTGAGTTTTGGGGATGGGAGGAGGCACCCTGGGGAGGGGTATGGAGTTGGAATTCTGTGAATCAGAAACCGTGATGATCGGTCCTGTAAATCACAGACCCTCAATCATAAAAAGTTTTCAAAAAAATTTTTTTTGTGCTTTTTGGGTCACACCCAGCGATGCACAGGGGTCACTCCTGGCTTTGCACTCAGGAATTACCCCTGGCGGTGCTCAGGAGACCATATGGGGTGCTGGGAATCGAACCCGGGTCGGCTGCGTGCAAGGCAAACGCCCTCCCCGCTGTGCTGTTGCTCCAGCTCCAATCACAAGAAAGGGTTTTAAAGAGCCACTAAAAAGCCTCCAACGTCTGGGGGAAAAAAAAGTTTAAAAAATAAAGTTTCCTCTAAAGCAGTGAAATTCTGTTTAATATTTGCACACGGTTAAATATCAATCAATCAATCACAGATCATCCTGTTATTCGTCGACTGCCTCGAGCAGGCGCCAGTAACGTCTCTTTCATCCTGGCCCTGAGATTATATTCAAGGCTCTTTAGGAGAATGAGACCCATCATTGTTACTGGTATTTGGCACATTGGGTACGCCATGGGGAGTTTGCCAGACTCTGCCGTGTGGGCAGGCTACATTGGGTAGTCTGCCAGTTTGTCCAAAGTTAAATATTAATATTTAATAATATTAAATATTAATATTAACTTAATGACATGGCTTTTTCATAGATTTACTATAAACATGTGCCTCTCCCCCGCTTCCGACCCTGTTCCTGTCCCGCGACCGCCTCTGGCCTTTCCGATCGACCCTCCTGTTCTCGAGCTGTGGGCCCCCGTTTCTTTCATCTGTGCCCCACTTTAGGCGGGTGGTACGCGGGGCCCGACGCCCCTGGTTGACAAACGCTGCTCTCTAGTATTAACGGTGAGGAACAGCTGGGCTGCTGGCAGTCCCTCTGCAGAAAAAGGCCCCCTCCCCAGCGGCCCCCAGCACCGGGCTTAGCCCCCCACCTTGAGGAGCAGCTGGTACTTCATGATTCTCTGCACTGGCTTGATGAGCAGGTCCGTGAGTTGCAGTCTGTGCCCCAGCCGCTGCTTAAGGTCCTGCGATCCAAAGCACAAACCCCATTTCAGGGCTGTCACCTGTGGGGCCGCCTGAGGGAAGCGGGGACCCGCCCAGCCACCACCCAGGGCCACCTGCGTTGCCCACAGGGGCGTCTGACGCCAGGATGTTCCTGAGTCAGTTGTTCTGAGAACCATTTAAAGGCATTCCCAGCCCCTACCCCCCAACTTCCACGTAAATATTTAATTTTTAGACAGTGAATAATTTGGGGACCTTAAATTTCAAAGGGTGAAAGATCTTAAAGCCAAGCTGAATTTGTGACCCGTACCAATGTGTTGCATATCAATGCTCACGCATGCACACACAGGCCTGCACATGTGTGTGCATGCACACAGAACCGGTAGTCGCCCTCATGGTGACAGTGACAGTGGTCTGAACGCCTGGGGACTGGACCACCCCACCCCCCACCCCCGAATATATTCACACCCGCTTCTCTGCTTCTCGGGAAGTGAAGCTGGGCTCAGCCCTCTTGCACGGGAGGCTGGGCCGAGGGCCATCTCTCAGGAAACACTTATTTTGGTTTCTGGACATCCGCAGGCAAGGGGGGACTTGGCAACATCGTGCGGACTGTGGGTCTTACCTCAAAAAAGGTATCGATGTACTCTGAGACAATGTGCTCAGACTTTGGTTTGTTCTGACAATACACTATGTACATGTGCAACCTTCTCTCCTGGGGATGGAAGGCACAGACGGTCAGATCACAGCCCCACGGGCCCCGGGGAGCACATTCCCATCTCTGCTTAGGGAACGCCCCCCCCAACCCAACCCCCGCTGGCTCCCTCAAACACACAAGTTCCTGGTGGACACTAGAGGCAGCCTCAGGACACTGGTCCTTTTTTTTTTCTTTTTGGGTCACACCTGGCGATGCTCAGGGGTTACTCCTGGCTCTGCACTCAGGAATCACTCCTGGTGGTGCTTGAGGGACCATATGGGATGCTGGGAACTGAACCCGGGTTGGTTGTGCAAGGCAAATGCCCTACCCGCTGTGCTACTGCTCCAGACCCAGACACTGGCCTTTCTTTTTGAGGGGGTGGGACCTCCCAGGTGGGGTGCTCAGGGGACCAAAGACCAGTGATTAGCAGACCCCAGTGGGCTCACAGTTTAATGCAGGGCAGGGCCGGGGATGTGGTACTCTTTGGGCCCCCCTGGTGCCAAGGAAGACTTGGGGCCCCTGGGCACTTCTTGGGCCCTCCAGGGTCACGTGGTCCTGGGGACCTGCCTGGGGGATACTTGTCTGAACCCCCATGCTATCTCCAGGCCCCACAACACCACTCTTTTTGGGGTGTGAGGGCACGGTCATTTCACGGGGGAAGAGAAAGCTTTGAGGGTGGGTACTGGCAGGGAAGAGTGGACAACGGGCCAGCCCTTTGTCCTGGTGGCCCCCAAAGCACTGGGGGCAGATGCTTAGGGTCCCCAAGGCTTATTCTCAAATGTGAGCAATTCTCAAGGGGCCAGGACTGGGCAATGGCTGGAAACCACAAGGGTGTGGAGGGGCGGAGGGTGGATCAGAGAGGGGAGGGGCCAGGCCATGACCACTCTGGCCAGGAACTGAGCGCTGGAAGGAGGGAAAGACACATGACGACCTCCCAGCATCTGTACTGCAAACCATAGTGCCTAAAATGAGAAAGTGAGACGAGAAGAGGAGTGCCTGCCATAGAGGCAGGCAGGGTGCGGGGTGGTTGCAGTGGGGGGGGGGGGGGGGCGGGGTTAAGGGAAAGGTTAGGAGGGCACCTGGGACACTGGTGCTGGGAAATGACACAGGTGGAGGGATGGGTGTTGGAACACGGTATGACTGAAACCCGATCATGAACAGTTTTGCCATGCTCCTTCTCATGGCGATTCAATAAAAAAAAAAAATTAGTATTAAAAAAACTCAATTTGGGGCTGGAGTGATCAGCACAGCGGGTAGGGCGTTTGCCTTGCATGCGGTCGACCCGGGTTCGATTCTCAGCATCCCAAAGGGTCCCCTGAGAACCACCAGGTGTAATTTCTGAGTGCATAGCCAGGAGTAAGCCCTGTGCATCACCAGGTGTGACCCAAATCTACAACTGTACCTCATGGTGTTTCACTAATAAAAATCCAAATAAAAACAAACAAACAAACAAACAAACAAACAAAAAACAAACTTCAATTAAAACAAATACCGAACAATCCTCCAGATCATTTGCCCTGTATGTGGTGCTGGCACCCGCCGGCATGTGGTTCTGCTTTGGGACACGTCCCTGGAGAGGGACCAGAAACAGCCCCAGCGATGTGTCACTTCGGCACACTGTCTCGGGTCCCCTCCCGGGGGCCACATCTACTCCAGAGAGCAACGGGCGCCAAGTCCCCAACTCGTGCCCGAGGGCACCTGGCGGGCATCTCTGAAAACACCTAAATGGGCTCGTGTTCCTGGTAAATGTGCGGTTAGGCGTGCTCAGGAAGAGGGATGCGGAGTTGTCAAGCCAAACGGTGGAACTCCCGCTGCCACCAAAGGCCACTCGGGAAGCTCCTGAACACAGAAGCGAGGCGAGTGCCGACCTGACCTGGTCGTACGGTGTCTCAACGCCTGGGTCTGGGGGTGCCGTGTGAACAGAGTTTGGTGAATGGGCCTCCCCGCGAGAGGGTTGGCGTCTCTCAGCTCTGGGTGCTGTGAGCCCGTCAAGAGTCGCAGCTTGCTGAGCTTGGCGCAGCCTCTAAGGAGGCTGGTTGCTTTCTGGGTTTCATTCGTTCGCTTTTTTTTTTTTTTGGCGGGGGGAGTCACACCTGGCTGTGCACAGGGCTCGGTGCCGAGGGATCATTCGTGGCAGTGCCAGAGAGCCACATGGGGTTAGCTAAGGCAAGGCAAGCGCCCAGCCCCTGGCACCCAACCTCTCACCTGGAAACTGACCGGCTTGAAAAGCTTATAAAGTATTGGTCCTCTTTCGACTCCCTGCTGTCTCTTAGAATAATCCCCCCCCGCAAATATTTTACCCCTCCGCCATCTAAAAAAAAACAACAATGCGGGAGCAGAAAAAAATAAGTCACCCACCTTCGTGTAAGACACGAAAGAGACTTGTGGCAACAAAAACACAAAACCTTGTGACTCATTTTTGAAAAAAAAATGTTTTAAAAACAGTCTATTGTGGAGCTGGAGCAATAGCACAGTGGGTAGGGCTTTTGCCTTGCACGCGGCCGACCTGGGTTCGATTCCCAGCAACCCCCAAGCACCGCCAGGAATCGTTCTTGAGTGCATGAACCAGGAGTAATCCCTGTGCATCGCCAAGTGTGACCCAAAAAAGCAAAAAAAAAAAAAAACAAACCAACAAAACACCCCACAGTCTATTGTATCACATGCATTTCTGAAACACACGTGATGTGGCGAGGACACAGGTATCAGCTCTGTTTCAGGTCCAGACGGTGGGCCCGGGCATCCAGCAAGGTCCCCGCTTCCAACCACTAGGCGGTGCTGTCAGCTCACCTGCCTGGGGTGGGCAGCTTGATTCCACCCACAGGGCCCCTCCTCCCCGCTCCCCTCCCTAACTGGGCATACCCCTGAGAGCTGGGCAGGGGACCCAGACCACAGCAGGACGTACGTACATGTTTAACAAAAAGGGATCCTAGTTTTTCCGGATCTTCAAGGCACTTCTCCAACTCTCCTAAAAAAAAGCTGCAACGAGAAGAGGCGACTTGAGAACCCAACTCCAACCCTCTGATTTCAGATGGAAGCTCATCTTTGCCAAATGATCCCTTTCGACAGGAGCCACCACCGGGAGAACCAGCGGGCACGCGCACTGGACACGGAAAATGTTCTGCTTGGAGGCACGTCCCACGGGCAATTCGGTTCCCTAAGTCTTTTAAAAAGGACATTTTCCTAGCAGGAGAGTTAAATAACCTATCAAATAAAATAAAATTGGGGGTGGGGGGGCAGTGCTGGGGAGCGAGTCCAGGGTCTCCCAGGTCTCAGCTTGGCCTGTTTATTCTGGGGGACTGTGTCTATTTGGTCCCTGTACCTACAATAAGCTCTGTTCCTATCTACTATTTCTGTTGTGGTTATTACTGTCTTAGGGCCACATCCAGCGGCACTCAGAAATCACTCCTGGCCGTGCTCCGGGGACCATACAGGATACTGGGCCCAAACCCAGGTCAGCCGTGAGCACGGGAAACAGCCACTCGCTGTACTATCTCTCCAACCCCCGCGCTGGCCTCTGCGTGTTGGGGACGGAGCGGGGGAAGACAGACTCCATGACGGACTCCAGCTTTACAGCCCTGCCCCACACCCCCACATCTGGCTTTCTCCGGACTCTGCTCTCATCCCCCTCCCCCGCCACCTGCCACAGAAGGACATCTTTGGGCTGAAGACTTGGTCTTGGTTTCTTAGAATTCTGCTTCTTCACCCCCACCCGGGCTGATAACTCGGCCCTGTTCCCAGAAACTGCCCGGGCGGGAGCAGGGGAGGAGGGAACAACTGCTAGGATGGCCTGGAAAATTATCAGGAGAAGACGACCTATCTGTAACGGCTCTTTGTGCTACTCGAAACTGGCTGAATCCTGTATTCTTGCTTCTATCTCTCCTTGAAACTGTAAGCGTGGGCTACGACACACACGCCGACTAGAACATCTGCAGCTTCTCGCCTTGCTCAGGGGCCTGTGCCTAAGAGCCTGGCCCCAGCCAGCTGGCTTGAATAAACCCCGCTTGTGTTTTACGCTACTGGCTGGACTCTGTGTGGTTCGGAGAGGGGAGACTAACACTGGCCTTTGCAGGGGCTCTCACTCGTGTCCACAGTGACCAGGGCCGCAAGTGTGTGCTGCTGTCGGCAAGAAGCAATGAGGGTATGTGATGGGAGGAACCAGAGAGGGCCACTGAGCTGGGCCTTTAAGATGAGGCCGGCCCCGCACTCCCTGAAGGCCGGGTGGTCCATCCCAGGCATTCCACAATGGTGCCAGTGGCCGGAGTCCTTATTATTAGGGAAACCCTAGTAATCACAGATGGCTTGTTTGTTTGGGGCCAAGCCTGACAGTGCTCAGGGGTCACTCCCGGTGGGGCTTGGGATGCTGGACGCAAGGGATCGAACCTGGGTCGGCTGCATGCAAGGCAACTGCCCGGCCCCCTGTGCTGTCTGTCCCACCTCGTGATGGGTATCGATAAGCGGGACTCGGGGGAGCCAAGGGTGATGGCCTTGACAAGCCCAGGGACCCGGGGACCCGGGGACCCTGTCTGGGTTAGGTGAGGGAGAGCCCGGACCCGGCTCTGCCCCCCGAGGCCCCGGCTGCTGTCCGTGTGCCCTGCAGGTGGCCACCACTCTGGCCTGAATCTGACGGCCACTCTGCAGCTCAGGGCACCGAGGGCCTGGCACTCAGCTGCTCCTCCCAAACCCCCGGCTTGGGGGAGACAGAGTCACACCCTCCGGGGAGGGGCTGCAGGGGTCCCAGGAGCAGTGAGCTGCCCTGCCCTGCTCTGGGCCTCAGGCCCTGGAGGCAGGGGGCCCTTCCGGTTCGTGAGAGGTGACCCCCAGACCACCCTGCCGGGTCCCCCCAGGGCTACGTACTCTCGGTGCCAGTCGTATATCTGGTGGATGTTGCCAAACACGATCTTGTCTTTGCCCTTCATGTCGTCGGGGACGCCGTCCTCCTTCATCAGCGCCATGTAGCCCTGCGGGCGAGAAGGGGAGCTCACAGGACCGTCCCCAGAGCTGCCCACCGCGCACTCGACTCCCCATGAGAGGATTCAGGGGATAGCGGGTGCGTCCCCGCCGTGAACCTCCCCACTGGCCGTGGACAGGGAAAATGTCCAGCCTGGACTGTCATCTCCTCCGTTCTCAGCACTGAGCCTGGATGGACAGCGTCCACCCCCGCTGTCGGCCCATTCCCACAAGTCTTTCAACAGGGTAATGCATTAACGTGGTCTGAGTCTCGTGGACGCGGCCCTCCGAGCAGCGGGCAGACATGGCTGCAACCACACACCAGGCTCCGCGAGCAGGTGGATCTTGGGGAGAACGCTTTGTACAACGGTGCATTTTCTGGGGCCACACCTACTCTCCCAGGCTCCTTCCGGTCACGCTCAGGTCCATCGTGTGATAAACGCGATGGCTGAACCAACGATTATGACCAAGGACAGTGACCGGCCCTCTGGGGCGCACTCCCCTGAAGAGTCTGTTTGCCTCGGAAAGCGATCATGCATCTCAGTCAGGTAACTGCCTTAAATCGGCTTCTCAAGAACGCTTTGAAGGTCGTTACTGGTCTTTGTTAGGGGGCCAGACCCAGCCAGACCCAGGTGTTCACGGCTGTCCGGGACGGAACTGTGTACTGGAGCCTGACCAGAGCCATGAGGAAGTTCCAAAGACATTGCAAACAAGGCCGTGTCATAGCTGCAAACAGCTAGCAACTGAGTGAACGGGGCTGGGGTCAGCGTGCCACAATGTGGCCGCTCTTTGTTGCAGATGAACTGTGCTATGCTTGGAGGAAAGTTAAACAAAGTAGCTTGCTGGGCTATCATGGGTTTGCACAGATTCTGATGTGGAACTTGTGGGAAGTGGGATGGAAAGAATCACGAGCTGGTCTGATCTGCCTCATCAGGAATGGTGTGCGTTAATAGGTCACAAGATAATATGGACTCTGAGGTGTTTTGATCTTACGTACTCTGAGGTGGGCTGGAGCGATAGCACAGTGGTAGGGCATTTGCCTTGCATGCGACCGACTTGGTCGGCCCAGGTTTGATTCTTCCACCCCTCTCAGAGAGCCCGGCAAGCTACCGAGAGTATCTCGCCCGCATGGCAAAGCCTGGCAAGCTACCCGTGACATATTCAATATGCCAAACACAGCAACAACAAGTCTCATGATGGAGATGTTACTGGGCCCACTCGAGCAAATCGATGAACAACGGGAGGACAGTGCTACAGTGTACGCTGAGGTACGATAGATGTTTTGATCAATCACCCCATAAAAGGAGACTGCAAAAGCCGATCAGTGCTAAGTGGCCTGAGCGAGCTTCAACTCTCCAAGCTTCAACATTACACACGCCTTGCTGGTCTCTGCGCCTTCAACTGATCGGTTGATCAAACTAACCGTGCCAGGCGCGCTCCCTGCCCACTGTGCTATGTCTCTGGCCCCTGGCTTGTTCCGGCTGGGGGAGGGGGCTCGGGCTCGGTCGTCTGACCTCGGGAAACTCATACCTCAACCACACAGCCGAGGTCCCGCACGTAGTCGCGCTCTGTCTCCACTAATTCTTGCAACACGTAGCTGGGGGGGGGGGGGGGGTGGAGAGAGAGAGAGAGAGAGAGAGAACCCGCAGTGACCACCCACCTTCCCAGGTCCTCAGGGGAAGGGTCACGATCACTTCCCCCGTGGCACGCCTGGGCACCGGGCCGGGATGTCCCAACCACGCTCAGGTCCACGCAGGGTGCCCACGGCACCTGCGACTGGGGATGAGTCCCCACTCCTGAGGCCTCTGCCAACGGGGAGCTCGGCACATAGGTTCCGTGGCTCTTACTGATTCAGTGGCTCTGCGGCTGTGGTTTGGGGGCCGCATACGGCTGGGCTCGGGGGACCAGATGCGGTGCTGGGACTCCCGCCTCCCCAACTGCATGTCCACCTTGGCCCTGCTCTGAGGAAGCATCGTGGCCATGCAGGGAAAGATCCGGCCCCGTGTTTGAGCTGAAGCAAACGCTTCTGTTCAGAAGTGTCTCTTTCTCTGCAAAGGCCACTAACCGCTGACGCCCCTTGAGTCAGAGATGGACCCCAAACCAGCCCTAGGAGATAGGAGGCTGCCCGCCACGGGCTCGGGGGACAGGAGGCTGCCCGCCACGGACTCGGGGGACAGGAGGCTGCCCGCCACGGACTCGGGGGACAGGAGGCTGCCCGCCATGAACTCGGGGGACAGGAGGCTGCCCGCCACGGACTCGGGGGACAGGAGGCTGCCCGCCACGGACTCGGGGGACAGGAGGCTGCCCGCCGGGGCCTTACCGCCGTCTCTTCAGCGAGCTGCACTTCCTCTCTTCCATCTCGTCGATAGGTGAGGACGAGGACAGGAGCGAGTTGTCGGAAGGGTTGAAGGACGGGCTGCTGCTGTCCCCCTGGTCCACCAGGAGGGAACTGGGCCGATCTTCCAGCGCCTGGAAGGAATGCGAGGCTGTGCCCGGGCCGCCACGGGACCCGTGGCCGCTGCCCTAGAGGACACTGGAGAAATGGGGCCGGCGTGGTGGCCCCTACCCCCGCCCCCGCAGGAGCCTCACCATCTTGCTTTTGACCAGTTCCTCGATGGCGCTGACGAGCTCGGCGGCGCTGGGCGTCTCGGAGCTGGTGGGGCGGACCAGGAGGCGTGAGGAGGCCTGTGGGGGGCAGGAGACAGTCACCGGGCAGCCGGGAAACGCCCCTGCAGGCGCAACCGCTTCCCGGAAGCCAATCCAGACAAGGAGACCACGAGCTGTCTTTGTTTGCGTTTATTTCCAGCGGCCTTTCTTCCCGCTGACAGTCCTGACAGGGAACGTTCAACAAAGCCCGATCGGGGGCCAAGGCGGGGGGAGCGGACGGGGCCTGGTTTGAATCAGTCGTCGGCCCGGCAGAGCCGATTCCCCAAAGGGGGTGGGGGTTGACCGGTCGGGCCCCCAGGACGCCGTGGCCTCGAGGCCGGCAGTGGCAGGAGCAGGAGGGGGCGGAGAGGGCGGGGGGCACCGGGCTCACCAGGAAGCCACAGGGGGACTCCACCGGCAAACCAGCCCTGCACATGGGCGCGAGGAGGGCCAGGCGGGGCAGGGACGCGCTCACCAGGTTCCATCCATCCACTTCCCCGAGACCAGTGATGGGCACAGGAGCGGGGGCCTCTCAGGCCATCGACGCCACTGGGGGGCTAGAAACGGGCAGCGGGCAGCAGGGTGGGGCGGGGCGGGGGACCGGGGCTGAGTTCGAGTTTCAGTGATTCGCAAACAGGGCCTGTTTGCAGGTGACTGGAAACTGTGGGGTGGGGGGAGGTGTGGCGGGAGCCCGGCCGCAGGGAGGGCAGCGGGGAGCAAGCCACTGGCCACTGTCGCCAGGCCCAGCGCACGCAGACGGATGGGCTGCAGGTCACGGGGCCTTCACGCGACGCATCGGCTGGAGATGCTCGCGGAGAGGCGCGCCGGGGACCGGGGCAGGCGGGAAGGGCTGGGGGTCAGATGGAGAGGTAGGGAAACCGAGTCCAGACAGACACAGAGCACAAGTCGACGTAATGCTGCAGCCAGCGCCACACAGCAGGAGAAGAGAGAAGGGACGGTCAGGGCCGGCGTCCCCGCCGGGCACCTCACTGCGGGTGTCTGCAGGCCCCGCCAGGGCAGAGCCCGGGGAGCTGCCACCTGACATGGAGAGGGGCCCTCTGTCCATCACAGGGGCCTCACAGTTGACCGTCATGGGATGTCACAGCTGTCCATCACAGGGGCCTCACAGCTGACCATCAGGGGGTCTCACAGCTGACCATCACAGAGGCCTCACAGCTGACCATCACAAGGGCCTCACAGCTGACCATCACAGGGGCCTCACAGCTGACCATCACGGGTCCTCACAGCTGACCATCACAGGGGCCTCACAGCTGACCATCACAAGGGCCTCACAGCTGACCATCAGGGGGCCTCAGAGCTGACCATCAGGGGGCCTCAGAGCTGACCATCACAGGGCTTCACAGCTGACCATCACAGGGCCTCACAGCTGACCATCACGGGGCCTCACAGTTGACCATCACAGGGGCCTCACAGCTGACCATCACAGGGGTCTCACAGCTGACCATCACAGGGCCTCACAGTTGACCATCACAGGGCCTCACAGCTGACCATCACAGGGCCTCACAGCTGACCATCACAGGGCCTCACAGCTGACCATCAGGGGGCCTCACAGCTGACCATCACAGGGACCTCATAGCTGACCATCACAGGGCCTCACAGTTGACCGTCATGGGATGTCACAGCTGTCCATCACAAGGGCCTCACAGCTGACCATCAGGGGGCCTCACAGCTGACCATCAGGGGGCCTCACAGCTGACCATCACAGGGCCTCACAGCTGACCATCACGGGGCCTCACAGCTGACCATCACAGAGCTTCACAGCTGACCATCACAGGGGCCTCATAGCTGACCATCACAGGGCCTCACAGTTGACTGTCATGGGATGTCACAGCTGTCCATCACAAGGGCCTCACAGCTGACCATCAGGGGGCCTCAGAGCTGACCATCAGGGGGCCTCAGAGCTGACCATCACAGGGCTTCACAGCTGACCATCACAGGGCCTCACAGCTGACCATCACAGGGCCTCACAGCTGACCATCACGGGGCCTCACAGTTGACCGTAATGGGATGTCACAGCTGACCATCACAAGGGCCTCACAGCTGACCATCAGGGGGCCTCACAGCTGACCATCAGGGGGCCTCACAGCTGACCATCAGGGGGCCTCACAGCTGACCATCAGGGGGCCTCACAGCTGACCATCAGGGGGCCTCACAGCTGACCACCACGGGGGCCTCGCAGCTGTCGATGAGGTCTCACATCTGTTAGTCATGGGATCCCGGCAGGTTCCAGGTCTTAAAATCTGGTAAAGTGAGCGAGCACCCTCATCAGGACGAAAGAGCCTTGGGGAAGGAAACTGAGGAAAATGAGGACAACCAATGGAAACGGCGTGAGTGCCAGAAACAGGAAACAAAGCACCAGTGACGGCCTCATGAACACTTTGCCCGGGAGCCCTGCGGGGCCCTGACCCTCCTGTGTCAGCACAGGGCCTTGAGCCACTGTCTCTGGGTCAACAGCTGGCCGGGAATGGAGTGCTGAGGAGCGAGGAGCCAGGTGGTGGACGCCCTCGCGACCTCCCCGCTGCGGGATGGGCTCGCCTCAGCCCTGGTCCTAGCCCACCACAGACAGGCCTGGACTGTGGCCTCGCAGTCGGACACTAGAGGGCCCCAGGCACCTGGTGTGGTCACCGAAGGCCCTGGGCGCGTGGGCACGGCGGCCTGCAGCCGTGAGGACAGGGGCCGGTCGGGGGCAGGGCGGGGCCGCCCGCGCTCACCTTGTCGTCCTGCGAGTCGGGCTGGAGGAGGCTGTGCTGCTGGATGGCCATGGGCGGGGGCAAGGGCACGGCGTCCGCGCCCTCCTCGCCCTCCTCCTCCCCGCAGCTCTGCATGCCCGAGGACGATGACTTGGACAGGGTCCCGCTGCTCAGGCCCTCGTTCCGGCCTCTCTGCAAGGCAGACGGCCACGTGCGCCTGAGACGCGGGCAGGGCGGGGAGGGAGGGGCCGCGGGGGCCAGCAACCGGCCGAGCCCCGTCCCTCCTGCCCTCGGCGGGCTGCTCACGGCCACCACGTGTCCCGGCAGGTGTCCCCGCGCAGAGAGGGGGATGGGCTCAGTCTCGGCCCGTGTGCCCGCTGGGGGAAATTCTGACTCCGCGCCAGTGGAAGGGCGCAGAGAGAGGGACGAGGCAGCGGCCAGTGGACAGGCCCGGGACTCGCATCGGATCCACCCCTGCCCCGCCTCCCTTTCCCAGTCTGGGAGGGCCTGAGGGTGGGGGCGTGAGGGGGGACAGTCTAAGCCGAAGAGCAAACAAGGGGCCCTTTTAGAGGAACCCCCCCCGCCCCTGTGGAGTGCACCCTGGCCCCTGGGGGTGCGGCAGAGTTTTCTGCCAGGTGAGGGAGCAGGTGTCCCCCCGGCCTCCGAGTCTAGCTCAGGGTTTCCCTGCACCTCGCACCCGCAAGGCAGTGCCACGAGGAAGGGGAGGGGCGAGAAACAGGGGGCCCCTGCCAGCCTGTCTGATGGCAGGGGCCGGGGGGCGGGGCGGGGCGGGGGCGCACCTCCTCCACGGTCTCGTCCTGCGGGGTGGCGGCGCTGTCGTCCGAGTCCTTCTGCGAGCCGGCGTCGGCGCTCTTGCGCACCTCGCGGCTCTTCTTGTGCTTGTGCGCCAGCTTCTTCACGTGCCCGTCGGCCTTGCCGCTGCTCAGCCTGCGCACGGGGCTGGTGAGCCACTTGCGCAGCGTGTTCCCCGGCCGCTTGGGGCCAGGCGAGCTCTGCGCGCCCAGCACGTGCGGCTGCAGCGACGCCACCGACGCGGGCGGGCTGGCGTCGTTGCTGGACACGGACAGCGAGTCTGTGGGGGAGGGACGGGCCGGTGAGCCCCGGGCGTGGGGGGGCGGGGGACAGGAGAATCGCCGCCTCCGCCCAAGGGCGCCAGAGGGCGAGGCTGCGCCCCCCAGGCAGTGACCAGGCACCCCTGCCCTGCCCCTGAAGGTCATGGACTGGGGGGGAGTTGCGGGTCGGCTGGGACCCCACACAGCCAACGGCAGACACCAGGAGATTTTCAGAAGCTGCACGTCTGCACCCTCCCGCAGGGCCCTAAAGAAGGTGACAGACAGGTGCTCCCTCTCCCCGGGGTCCCGGGCACGCCCCTCCTGCCCCGTCCCTTCCAGCGCCCCAACCAGGCAGACGTGCCGCCACCCACAATGCTCTGTGCCAGGCCCGAGCAGGGTCTTCCACAGTCCATTTGAGCCCCTCCCCCCACCTTTTCTGGGTGCTCACGGGCAGGTGCTCCCTCCCACGGCTGCCCGCTGTATGCAGGAGAAGGCCCAGCCCACGCGGGCAAGGGCCCGGCACGCGGGAGGCCTTCCTTGGGCACACTTGGGACGACGCCAGAGGGCAGAGGAACAGGAGGGTCTAGCGACGTATGGACCAGACACAGCCTCACTCCCCTTTATCAAGTGCCAACCGCATCCGGTCCGGGGACGGAGAGGGTGGAAATCCACCTCTGGCACCGGCATGGCCTGGACCCCCCCAGAGCTGGCACCAAGGAAGGAGCAGGCTGGGGGAAGCAGCCCTCAGGAGAGAAGCTGAGAAGAGGGGGCCTTAGGCAGGATGGAAGGCCGACTGGAGGAGGTGTCCAAGCGCACGGAGAGGCTGAGCTGCCTCAGGGGATGCACCAACACACAGTGGGTAACAATTCAGCGCTGCCTGGGCCCACAATGGTGGCCAGTGACCTTGTGCACGGGAGGCCCCCCCCTCCCCCTTCCCTGCCCTGGCACAGTGACAGGCAAAGCCCACGCCATGTTTCCTCGTAGGGTGAAGCGAATGGGGCAGAGACAGAGGGGGCTTGGCTTGCACGCGGCAGGCCCCGGCCAGATCCCCAGCCCCACACAGGGTCCCCTGAACCCCCCAGCCAGGAGTACGCCCTGCACTCCGGCTAGTATGGCCCCCAGCCAGACACAGAGGGAGCGAGAGGGCCGGCTCACCAGCCTGTGGCACCCGCCCGGGCCGGCCAGGCGGAGAGACGTGAGCACCGCCTGGAGTGGGGTTGGAGCCCTGGGAGGGAATGGCCGTCTGTGCCGTGGTGGGCAGGAGGCCCCCGAGTCAGATGCCACAAGGGTCCATGCTAAGGACGGGGCGGCAGGGAGGCACTGGGATCCGGAGGGGGGGTGCTTCCCTCAGCTCGGGCTCCCGGCGGCCTCCCGCTGCCCCCTGCCAGCCTGTTCTCAGCACAGATGAGCGTCTGTCCTGGGGGTGGGGGCTCTGGGACTCGGCGAGAGCCACGCAGGGCTGATGGCCTGGGGGTTCCTAGGCTCCAGTGGCTGCTGGGCCTGTGAAGGCCTCTGTGGGGGTGAGAGGGGTGCGTGTCTGAGTACGTGCAGGGCTGGGGGTACTGTATTGGCTGGGCACTGCCGTGGGCTCAGTGGATGGGGCCAGTGGTCACTGCTGTAGGCGGCAAATGTCTGCAAGGGGCAGGCCCTGCCAGGCCCAACGGGCTCCAGGAACAGCCCGAGTTAGCGGCGGGAACAAGGGCCAGCGGATGCGCCTCGGCTCCTGGCTTTGTTCTGTCAGCTCGCAGCGTCCGATTCCAAACACCCCTCCACGCCTCCCTGAAAGGACCCGGCCCGGCCTCCAGGGAACCAGCGAGCTGCCCGTGATTGGACCCAATGGCATAAACCGCGCGAGCCTGTGAACGTTCCCAGGGAGCCCATCGCTCACCTCAGGGCCCCACGGATGGCACGGAGAGATGGAAACCAGAGCTCGCCGGGTGGGAGAGCAGCGGTGTGGAGGGTGCGGACCCCTCTCCCCATCCCCCCAGCCCTGAGCGAGCCCGTGAGGTCCTGGGTCCCCGACATCCGGTCCAGCCACACAGTCCAGGCCAGGGGGTTGGACTTCTGTCCCCTCGGCAGAGCCATGCGGTGCTGTCGCTCGGAGAAGCGGGGCCGGTGCCCCCTCGCGGCTGTGAGCATGCTGCCCCCCGCCACCCGCTTCCCAGCCCAGCCAGATTCTAGGGAAGACGGCGTCGCCCAACGTCTGGCCTCTCAAATGACTTGCGGCCCATCCCCGTCCTGAAGCCCCCGGCCCACAACGGGGCCTGCGTCAGAGCAGAGCCTGTGTGTCTGGGGGCAGCGGGACGCGGGGACAGGACACATCCCCAGGAACTCCCACCCCATCGAGCATGCCTCCCCCACCCCCGGCCAGAAGGAGGAGGGGAGGGGGTGGCCCAGCCTGCACCCAGCAGGCGTGAAGGACGGGCTGGGACCCAGGAAGGCCCTGCAGGCGGTCAGGCGCGGCCAGGCAGACACGCGCTTCAAGGGCACCCACTCCTTTCTGAGCACTGGTTTTCAGAGCCCGGCCAGGATCAGGGAGCTCTGGGGACTGTGTGTGTGTGTGTGTGGGGGGGGGGGTCCCACGGCATTGCTTGGGGGGTCACAGGCCCACTAGGGGCAGCTGTGTGTCTGCAGGTCTGTGTATGTTTGAGTCTGTGTGTGTGTGTGTGTGTGGGAGAGAGAGAGAGAGAGGGGGAGAGAGAGAGAGAGAGAGGGGGAGAGAGAGAGAGAGAGAGAGAGAGAGAGAGAGAGGACAGCAGAAGGTCTCTGGACCGAGAACAAACTCCATACCCAACAAAGGACATAGCCCAGGCGACTCCGCAGAGCGGGCCCTGTGGAACGCCCAGATGCTGTGCCCGAGGACCAGGCTCCGAGCGCAGGACAGTGGTGCCCGTCCACGGGTCAGGGACCAGGAGGATGCCTGGCTAGATCCCACCCAGGTCCACTCCACGGCCCCCTGGGGTGTGCACGGGCGGGTGGGCGCAGCGCCCGCAGGCAGGCAGCCCCCACAGCTGGGCCTCGGGCAGGAAGAGGAAGTGGAGACCCCCCCAACACACACACACACACACACACACACACACACACACACACACACTTCCAGCCTTGCTGAAACTCCCTCGGCTCATTTTCCCGTCGCTGCTCCGGCTTTGGGAGGCCCGTCCGAGCACCTGGCAGACGTTCACCCCAGGCCCAGGAAGCCATAAATCTGCGCTGGCCCCCCGTGTGGCAGGGGGCAGCCCGCGGGACGGGCGGGGAGAATTCCAGATGCGCAGGAGGAACCTTCAGGTCTCCGGGTCCCCTGGGTCGGCGCATTCCCCCTCGCCCGCCCCAAGGCCAGGATCTGGGGGCTGCAGACACCCCCGCCCCCACTTCTGTCCACAGATGCTCTGAGCGAGTGCTGCAGACGTCCTGGCTTGGTGCCAAGAGTGAAAACAAGTGGAAATGATTTAAAAATGCATGTTTTAGATCGAAAAAAATGCCACCCCTCCCTTCCAAATAAAACCTAATCCCCTGCAAGCAGTTTTGGGGGAATGTAGCAGCAAGCGCTATTGGGGGGAAGGGGGGCGGGGGCAGACGGGAAACCGCCGTGAGCTGCAGTGGCGGGAGTCACCACAGGACAAGGGCACGGCGGGCTCACTCTCCCGTGCCACCGCCCCCGGCATGCTGCGCGCGCATCCCGCCTTCAGCCCCGGCTTCACTTAGCGGGAAGGAACAGAGAATTCCTTTCCCACCAGGCGCGGGGGTGGGGGGGATGCGGGGGTGGGGAGCAGTCTGGGGGTTTGGCCCCAGGGGCCCTTCCTCTCCTCCTGGGAAACAGAAGGTCTGCGGGCCTTTGGGGCACTTAGGACAGCAGGGACCCGGGATCGGGTCAGAGGGACAGGACAGCGTGGAGGGCGCCTGCCTGGCATGTGGCAGACCCGGGCTAGATCCCCGGCTCCCGTAAGGTCCCCTGAGCACCGCCAGGAGTAATTTCTGAGTGCAGAGACAGGAGTGACCCCTGAGCATCACTGGGTATGGGGGAGGGAGGGAGGGAGAGAGAGGGAGAGAAAGAGAGAGAGAGAGAGAGAGAGAGAGAGAGAGAGAGAGAGAGAGAGAGAGAGAGAGAGAGAAGTGGGTGGGGCATCTGCCTCGCACACAGTGAACCCGGGTCTGATTCCCGAGCACTGCCAGGCCGCCAGGCGCAATTCCTGAGTGCATGGCCAGGAGCAAGCCCTGAGCATCGCCAAACGCCCCGGAAGACAAAGAGCGAGAGGGGATGCGGAAATGCTTCCCCTCAAAAAACGGACTTTGCAGGGCGAGGAGCCACATTCCTCCTGGAAACAGAGAACCAAGACGCAGGGGCTCAGGAAGGGGTGGGGTCTGCAGCTCGGGGCCTCGGGGCAGACCCGGATCCTGCAATCGGTTCCAGGTGCCCTCGAGGGGGCCGCGGCTGAGCCCTTCCTGACTGGCCGGCCCCCACGCCCTCAGAGGCGATTTCTGCTCTTCACCTCACCCCTGCAGTTCCAGCCCTCACTCAGGCTGCCTCTGGGACACATCCAGGGGGTTTCAGCAGATGGCTCTAAGCAAGACGATCCCCATCTGGCCCGGGAAACACTCCCGGCCAGTGTCTGGGAGCAGGAGAACCGCCTCTTCCTAAGGGCGTCCAACAAGGCAGCCTGGGGGCGGGGGAGGGGGGTGGCGGTACAGGACGGCTCAGCAAGCTCTGCTGGCACTTCTCTGTTTCTGTACCTCACCCGGCAGTGCTCAGGACCGCATGCCGTGCGGGGATGGCACCTGGGCAAGTGCCCGGGCTGCGGGACTCTGCAGCGTCACGCACGGGCGCGGAGGGGCTTCTCCTCAGCATCAACTGACGAGGCTTCAGACCGCCCTGCACGGGCTGTGGCGTCTGGGAAACCGGCCCGGAGCCACCAGGCCAGTGTGGGGAGACGGAACTGCAGCTCTCCAGGACAGGGACCCGTGCGGGGACTGGCTTACCCTCGCGAACCTTCACGTTGAGGGGAGCATCAGCCCCCACGGCCCA